GGCGTGGTCACCGCGTCGCCAGAATGGGAGGCCGGCAACTCAGCAAGCAGAACCCGTGTCTCCTGTTTGTTTCAGTCCTCTTCTGAATGGACACGAGCCGAAAAAGAGCAACATGGAAACAGTGCACAAAAAAAGGATCATGAGGATGTGCTTATGGGAATGTTTCATGATTGTCACCGATGCCTCTGATCCAAGTACCTGGAGGGTGGTATAGACCTGACCGTGTCTGGACCGTGCTTTCGTACAGAGATTGCCGGGTTTCAGTATGATTCGGACTCGTCGGGGTGGGAAGTGGAAGTCTGAGGAGGTGAGAGGTTCGAATGAAGGCCCGGAGACTCTGCTGCAACCTAAACAACACGCAGTGCTTCAATAGGCCTCAAGGCTGGAAGCATTGGTTCTCCCCCCTTGCCATTCAAGTTCTGGAGGTACCCCAGTGGGGCGGCAAGCTCGCTCTTGTACTCACGGACATGGCCGTGGAGCAAGGCGGCATCTGGCTTGGGGAAATCCATCGCCGGAAGGGGCACGGGTGCACCTCATCCGAAAAGAAAAAGAGAGAGAGAGAGAGAGAGTGAGAGGCAGGAAGGACGGAAGGAAAGAAGAAAAGAATACGCGCACCCGCACACGCACATGCGCACATGCGTGCACGCGCACGGAGACACACAGACACACAGACACACAGACGCACAGACACAGAGACACACAGACACACAGACACACAGACACACAGACACACAGAGCACACAGAGCACACAGAGCACACAGAGCACACAGAGCACACAGAGCACACAGAGCACACAGAGCACACAGAGCACACAGAGCACACAGACACCCAGACACGCAGACACACAAGCACACAGACACACAGACACACAAACACACAAACGCACAGACACACCATCCACCCGCCCAACAGCCCACCCGCCCAGCCGTGCACCCTCACCCATCCACCCACCCACCCACCCACCCACCACCCACGCACGCACGCACCCCCGCCCGCACTGATAGTGTTTAGGGTCGGGGATGTTTCGGGCCAGGGCACTCAGGCCCTCATCCCCGAACCTAGGAGAATGGACCAAATAACAGTCGGCAAACACATCCAAACAGGCACAGAAAACGGGAGCTGCCGATTCAAAGAAACTCTTGACTTAGCGGCTTTTTGGACTAGGATTCATGATGTTCGTTGCTGTGAGGGTTTATGGGCGTTCCGGACATGCCTGTTGTGTTTTGTGAGTTGCCGTGCTTTTTTTTTCGGACGTGTACCGCCGTGTATGCCAGGCCAGACAGACGGAGCCGCTCTTCTCGTGGTTCATTGCCAAGATTTCGTTTGTGTATTATTATTATTATTACTATTATTATTATTAGATGTATAATTGAATGAATTAACCGCTGTGGGCTTGGGATTAGGATCTCACGGGCTTAAACCCTTTAAACCCTGCGCCCAGACGCTGTGGTCTAAGACCCTTGAGCGCCTAGGCTTAGAAGGGCACAGTTTACATTCTGGCTGGCGTATTCTGGCTGTGAACTCTCACTGTCTGAAGCTCCAGACAATTTCTGGTGGTACGTCGCCTGGTGGTTTGTCTATACTTGGTCTTGTTGGAGAAGCATATTACGTTGTTACGTTTCATGGTGTAAGGTTACAACGGATGCATCTGGTTTTGGCAATGTGCCCACAAACATAACACGATGTAACACGAGTTGCTGGCACTATGCCAGGCAATAGCTTGCTTGCATGGCATAAGCAGCCGCGTAGGGAGGCGTAGTCTGCTAGGCAAACGAGGTGTGCGAAGATGTTGCAAGCGTAGTTTTGCCGGTACGTCATAGGGAGGTCTCCCCATGATATCACAAGCAAGCTGGAACATCAACCTAAACCCTAAACCCTAAAGCCTGTTTGCTGCAGCGGTTGGCCCAGGACCACCTAAGACGGGTGGGCGCAGAAGCGCGTGCGGAGGCATCATTTCCTGTGCTGCCAGCATCCAGTGTTGTACTGGGTTTAGGGTTTAGGGTTTGTGGGTTGTAATTACTCTTAAACTTCAAGCCAACACCCAGTCCAAGCTTGGTGTCGCAAATCATGTTCCTGCATCTTCTTTTTGTTCTTGAGACTCCGTCCTCATGTTGCCCACAGTACGACTAAAAGGAAAGTTTGCCCCTACGCTAAGGCCGTACATCGTGACAATAAAAATACTGAAGCATGCACCGGGTGCTTACCATTCTGGTAGGACATTGTTGAGATCATGTGGCCCAAGCGCACTTGAAGCATTTGCACCCAGGACCGAAAAACCTTGCATGTCCTTCCCGAACAGCTCAGAAGAATGCGAGAATGTTTCCAAGGTTACATTTAGAGCGCTTTCCCCCATGCTGCAGGCACTCTTCTCTTTGTCTCATGCCTTGCCACCCGAGCTGCTCCAAGCGCTCTGCACTTCGGGCGTCGAGGCGCCGAGGGGCTATTGAGGCAAAGTGTGTGAGAATGGGACTGATGGCCAGCTACAGACAAGGAGGTTCTTGGAGCTGTTTTTGTGAATGTGGGTTTAGCGGTCATTTAGGATTGCAGAAACTAATCTGACTTCGGGTAGTTCAACACGCCGTTCCTCCTGCGACCCATGCCCAATATAAACTTGTTTCGCCCGTAGTCGTGAACGATTTTCTTTTGAATCTCGCGAGTTTGAATGTCCCTGCTGATCAAGCCCATCATTGATCGCAGTTCTTAGCGAGTTGCTGGCATCAACACGACCGTTTCGTGTTTTGTCAACGTGCAGGGCAGTCGCTTTTGAGCTCTCATCGGCACCTAGGACAATGCCGAAGTGGAACTACTACTACGATAGGGGTCGAAACAATTACTAATAATGTTCCTGTTGGGTCCCCATATAATCAAACTATAGACTATAATCACCCCCAAAACCCTATTCTAAGTATTCAGGCCCCTATATTACGTGACTGCTGCTATGCGCTCTGCGCGCATAGATTTTGGAAGAGCCCGGATACCCGAACTGTGACTTTGGCACAGGTGTCAGAGGCCGATGCGGATATGCTGTCGCTGCCACTTGCACAAAAAGCTGGCGAGCGTTGCTCTAAAGCAGCCGGAGTTCAGATTTGGGCTTGGGGTTGAAGGAAGATCGGCTGGCATGAAGCAATGTTCGATGGCAAAGGAGGAGTGCGAATTCAGATTCATTGGTTCCCAGATCGTTGCGGTTGATGCATGGATATGTGGCTTGGGATAGCAAGGGATGTGGGTTCAGGGCTCAGAGGGTCAATGATTGTGACTGAGAGAATGCACTTCATCGGGTAAACCCCCAGCAAAAAACTGCAAACAGCCGCCCCGTGTGAAATCGGTCTTTGGCATGTTGGCTGAAGGAGTTCAGAGGGCTTGGGAGGGTGTCTTGGTTGATGTGGTGGTTTCTGGGCTCCGATCACAGTTCACGACGCAAACTCCGAATCCTTTCTGCGAGCGACAATCACTCATGACTCGGGATTTTCGTGGGGATTTCCTGAAGAGGGTGTTGAATGCTGGGCTGCAAGTCGGCAAGCATGCTAGTAAGTACAGTCGGTGGTCAGGCCTTACATGCTCAGACGCATGTCGCAGCACATACTCTATATCCCCCTTGGGAACTATTTTTGATTTTTGTTTATACAAAACCCAAGAGGATATTGAAAATGTTATTCTTATTAAGGTTCTAAGGGGAGTATAGTACTACTTTGCCATCCTGACGAACACTGCGCGTGTGACTCTCCTCTTGGTGCGCCGGCTCCTGCTCGAATTTAGCTTCGTTGCCTTAGATATGGACGACCTGGACAAAAGAATTCGGCAGCATAAACTCGCCGTGCACAGAGGCCGTAAGTTCTTCAACAGATCACGGATTGCAGAGTAGGGTTCGAGGCATTGCGGAGCATCCAGCACGCAAAGACTGCGTGCTAATCCGTCATGCCGTCGAGTTCAGGCACACTTCTGTCAGTTTTTACGTTTGGGGTCTTGAAGCAAGAAGCCGTCCCTTTGAGTTAGGACTTGAGCTCTCCCGATCATGTCAGCTTTCAAGATGCAGACGACCTGAAATGCAATGAAACAAACATGTGCGAGATTGATTGAGTTTGGGGCCTAGAGCTGCAGGTTTGCAGCTTGCTTCTGTAGGCAGAATATGCGGAATCCTAAGCCCCATAGTCCCCAAGACATGTGCTTCACCAGGCCCGAAGACAGACGTAGTTTGCATGTTAGAAAGGGTCGCCAGTCACCACATCCAAGATTGTCGGGGTCGCCTAGAGAGGGGTGTTCAAGGTTGTCACCATCTTGGCCCATGCCCGACATGTCAAGAAAGAAAGTGGGCAGCCTGTGCAACCATGGCCACGAGAACTGTTGTCTCAACGCACTCCCGGCTCAAAGCTTTGAATGAAGACAGCTGCGCTATTACGCTTCCCCTATTTTGTCAACAGTTCTGATGGGAAGTCCAGCCTGTTAATGGCTTGGCAACTGCACTTTAGTGCATGAGTGTACCAAACCCTACGCATTGCAAGTTTGCTCACATTCGTCATGCTATGAAGGTACCATCCCGGGAGATACTGAGCAACGCGTGAGTGTCCCAATACCGTTGACTCCCCAGCGGGTTGAGGGTTTAAGGTTTAGGGTTTAGGGTTTAGGGTTAGGGTTTAGGGTTTAGGTTTTAGGGTTTCCGGGGTTCCCGTGTGGGGATTGGGGCTTAGGCTTCCAAATCCAGATTGGCTCTTCTTGTTCTCGGCAAGGGATGGTGACTTGCGTAGCTGGCTGGAACAACATCCCAGGAGAGGATGCAGTACCTTACCGTAAGGCATCATATCAGGAACCTCTTGAACAGGGCACTTTGTGGCCCCCCAGCCTGTCCAAGGTCAGCATCTGATCTTTGCGAACCCAGTCGGTAGAACGTCCTAGGTAGGATAAGGGGGACCCTTAAAAAGCCTTCTTAACCTTCTTCTGGCTCTCTTAAAGAGGGGCCGTATTCAGAGGGTCTATGTCCCCAAGGATCCCCCTAATCCTATCCCCTAAGAACTTGAAAGCACTGGCAAAGGCACAACATAGCAACCGAACGAACCCAAGCACCGAAGCGAGGGGAACCCTGAAGCTCATCAATCGCATCGTTTTTAGGGTTAGGGTTGAGGGTTTAGGGTTTCGGGTTTAGGGTTTCGGGTAAGTCTAGGGTTCACTGCAGCCTGCTGAATGCATCCCAGGCGGAGCCTCCATGAGCTCAAAGGCCATGCCAACAAGCACTTCGGCGTCCGGGCACAGAAGCCGCTGCGCATGTCAGGGACCCGATGTCCGGTGTTTTTGGGTCTGTGGCCTGAGTTTTGGGGAGGGGTTTAGGGTTTAGGGTTTAGGGTTTTGGGTTCAGGTTTGAAGCAGAATGGATTTCAGGGCGCTTGATGGCCCTACAGTAGGAGTCTCAAGCATTTGGTCATCGTGCTTCTTGTGGAGTGTGCGTGCACATGGAGATGCGTGGTATGAAAAAACCGAGAAAGAGTCGCGAAGGCGAAGGCATCGACTCAAGCCTAGATGCACTTTCGAACACCTGCTCCAGCCAAAAACTTGGCGCGGTGTCAGTCGTGTAAGTCTAGCACCGCTGGAGGAATGTCCAGTCTGGCTTGTTGTTGCTGGAGGAGACCTCTACAAAAATTCGGATTCGGCCTTGCGGGCTTCAGGTGCTCAGGCTTGCGAAGTGCTGCTGCCGTCTTAGGTCTCAGCCGACTACCCCGAAGGCCCCATACCTTTAAACAGAGGGTTCGGCTGCATGTTTAGAACGGTTACGCTTTTCCCGGTTGATTCAGAACCCTCCAAGCCCTACACGCTCTGAAGCAGAAGTCGCAGTAGCACCAGAAGTTCAGGTACCACCACGGTAAGGTCGTCATTACGCACGCGCAGCACGTGACCAACCTTAAGGAGGGAGCTCATGGCCTCACGTCTTTGGTGGGCTGGTAGGGGCAGGGAAGGGAAGCTTCACTTGAAGCTTCCGTTGAATACGGTTCCTTTGAGGGTTCAGTTGGCTATTTAACTCTTTGGGGCCTTGGTGGCCTTGGCTTGGTGTTTAGGCACCTCACAGGCTCCCAGGAGTTGAATGAGTTGAATGAGTGTGGTCGGGTGCTCTGCTCCTGGCTGACTGGGTGTCTGGTCAAAGAGTGGTAGGCAACCCGGCTTCTCTTCTCTTCGTGGAATCGAAGTGCTCATCTGAACCCTTCAGCCTTCTTAATCTTCGAACCCCGACTGTTCAGAGAGCACTGCTCTTTTAAAAGCCATCTCTGCCCCGCGAATCATGAAGCCTTGTAAGAGCAGCACAACTTCATTTTGCAACAGTGCAAAGATCTTCCCCCGTTCGGCCCACCTGATTTATTTGCACGGCGTGTTGCCAGCAGGGTTCAATTTCGGAGAATTAGGCTTGATCTTGCAGTCCAGTTCAAGTCGAGCAGCAGAGCCTCCGCAAGAAAGCCTGGCCATTCTGTCATTTTCCGGTATTGGAGACTTGTGAAGAATCAGGCTTATGGCTTCAGACTCCTCATTGGCCCTAAACTAAACCCCACCTCAAACACTAAACAGCTGAGAAGCTCTGCGAAACTGATCGTCCGAGAAGCTGGAAGGATGGGGACGTCGTTGTCGTGACGGTAACTGACGAAGAGCAGGCCTGTGGACATGATCTGGGGCTTTAGGGTTGTGGCTTACAGTGGGAGAGGTTTGGACTTTGGGGACTTGTACTTCAATCTTCGTGCATTTAGTCGTAAAGGCATGGGCAGCTTCCGCAGCAGGCAGGGTAGTCCATGAGGATGAAGAGGGCCACCGCCGATGCAGTCGGGCTTCTAACGCAGGCCACTGCCAACGCAGCCACACTGCATCCTGAACCCCAAACGCCTAGCCGCCCTAGCCCGCGAAGCAAAGAAGCTAAAGAAGCTGGTCCCTATTTGAACAGCTCAGGTGTGCCTGAATCTCTCCACCTTGGCTATGAAACACATACTGCCCTCAATCACGCTTGACGACCATCCTGGACCATCCTCCTGCCTAAGAAGCCCAATGTTCGGCAGGGTCCGCCACCGATCTCCACCCACCAGGTGGGGCTGGGTTGCGTGGAGCTGGTATGCACGGCCAAGTTTTTTGTCATTGGTATTGGTGTCGTTCCGTAAACCGCTGGGGGCACGGCCTTCCTTGGTGCTGGGGAAGTCGAGTTGAGGTTCCCAAGGTCTCACGACACTTCGAACCTCAAAACCCGAGATCTGAGATATGATTCAAGAACGATGCTTAGCTTTTCGGTCTGAATGCGCAGCTTGTGTGCTTCCTTCAAGGGCCAGCTGGGGATGCCAAGCCCATGCATGGCAACTGAATGCTACCAAGCAGAGGGGTCACGGACCCTTCGCGCCGCCTGCAAGGCAAGGCCGATTGCGACGTGGGCACACTTCGAAGGAAGGAAGGAAGGAAGGTGACTAACCAGTCTGACAAGCAGATGGATACTAGCATCTTTGGCAGTGCTGGCTGGATGCAGACTCACGACCAAGCCCTATGCACTATTGTGTGGACACCGGTGGCCACAAGGCCAAGGATGCCTCACACGCGCCCATAAAGAACCAGAACAGGGTGCACATAGAATACATATGAATACATTCTAACTTAACTTACACGCCAAAGCTAGTGAGCCGTGCAAAACAAGTAAATGTAGTATTTTAACGGGCCCCAAACCCAAAAGTTTATTGGGTTTTTGGCCGTACATTTAATCCTTCTTTGTGCTCTCATTGTTTTAGAGGCACGAAGTGAGCACAGTGAATCTATTCATGAGAGAACGAGCGAAACAAGTGTTTACTATTTTCCTCTTGTCCCATAACCTCAAACAACAGCTCTATAATGACGGTGCCGGCAAAGATGGACCAGCTCACATAAAGAAGCTCAACCTGACACGGGCTGCCCGGAAGACTTGAACCTCGGCCTGAGCCCGATAAAAATTCCACACATGTTTAGGGTTTAGGGTTTAGGGTCAGGGTCATGGGTTTTGGGTTTTAGGGTTTGGGGTTCGGGGTTTAGGGTTTTGGGTTTTGGGTTTAGGGGTTAGGGTTTAGGGTTTAGGCGGTTTCAGCCGTAAGCCGCACAGTCCAGGCCCACTACGTGCCGCACCGCCTTGAGGTGCGTCCCTGAGCCATGAGGGAAGCTCGAAAAGCGAAAAATGTTCCAAGGAGCTGCAGGCTTGAACTCAAGCTGGGAGGGTCGGCCGGCCGACCGAAACAAATTACTTAGATAAAGTTGTTACTGCATGACTGTAGGAGGCATGCCTGATACACACGCCTGCCGTTGTTGTCGCAGTGCCACATCAGCCCCTGCGACCCTATAAAACATGCTACAGCTACGTACAGCACGCTAAAGCCATCTTACTCTTCCGAGGTTCATGTGCACCTTCCGCTTTGTAGACATTGCCTTCATTTGGTTGCAGTTGCTTTCAGAACTGCTCTCGTTCTCGCAAGCCTCGCGAAACAAACCAAGCCCACGCGTGTATTGATGCTGCCTTACACACTGTCCCACACATGCTTGTTACACGGCTTTTCAGGCGAAGAAGCCGCCGCCAGCCCAGGATGGCCCAGGCGAGGGCGTGCCGCCGGGGTCCTGGACCTCTACGGCTGGGTTCACCCCTGTGAGCAATTTCAGATGCTTTGGATGGTTGAGGGGGCTGAGGGCTCCGAATGGTTCCGAGTTGTGTGGGTTTTGTGCTGCAGGGTCCAGGACGGTCCGGCTGCGGTGTGGTTTACGGTGGCCATGATGGTTAGAGAGTTAAAGTTGCTCAGGGCTTTGGGCGACCTCTGCGCCACTGTAGTCTATAGTTTCTGTGTGCTCTGCGAGAGAACATTGCGCTCTCGTTCTTTATGCTCTTGAGGATGCGCGTTTTCGGTTAGCACCCCATGTGCTTGTGGCCGGATCGAAGCGAGCGACTGGGTTTGGAAGAGTCGAGCGGTGCTCAGCGCTGCAAGCTCTGCGAGCTGGCTAATACGTTGTGGATGTATTCAATCCTTGCTTTCTTTTGGTGTTGATGGTAGCCTATTCGGTTTTCACTTTCGATATCATTCCGGTTAGTGCTCTGGCCAAAACGCAGAATGTGATCCATGCCGTCCGAAAACCACTTCACCCTGAATTCCAGATTCCAGGTCACCATGTTAGCGAAAAGCAAAAGCACCCAAGCCATGAGAAACGAAGGTTTGACGGCAAGTCGAGCTACACCGTGGATTACATACCACATCCCCTCGAGGCCCAGGGTCTATCAAACCCTAATCCCTTAACCCTAAACCCTAAACCCTAAACTTTAAGTTTTTTCGGGCTTCGTCTTCAGGACCTTGGCAGTTAGAGAGGTGTAAGGTGGAGGGATGGTTTGGTAAGGTAGGACAAGTTCATGCGCCCGAACTCTTTAAAGCAACGCAGACTTGCAGCTTTTCGAAGTCCAGCAGGCTCCGAACACATGCTCGGGCTCATACGAGTTTAAGGCCCCATCAAGTCTGCTTTGAGATGAGTCTGAAACGAGGTTTGGAGCATGGTTCCTCATGATTCACAGGCACGCCACAAATCCAAATCTTTCACCCTTAATGGCCCATACATGCACTGTAAGAGAGACGGAACAACAGCGACTGCCTGAATCCTGACCAGCCGAGTCTGCCCATGAGTAAGAACAGCCATACCCAACAGGTCCGAGACAAAGCCAAGCCACCGCGCAACGTGTGGGAACCCGGAAGGCGGGTTGGGTTCTGAGACTCATGGTAGTTCACTTGTTCAAGGGCTGATTGCGGTTTAGGGTGGCAAAACTCGCTCTGCACGTGTCACGCATCCGAAGGCGAAACGAAGCACAGGCACTATCAATAAGTGATAGGCTGAGCACCTGCACTTCCGGAATAGTCGTGCTTAGTGCCGATTTGGCTTGAAAGTCGTTAGAAATAGCATCCATGTCGATTTCATGCACAAAGCAATGTTGCCAGCAGCAAAGTTGCAAGTAATTCTGCTAGATATAATCAACTTGAAAACATGCTGGCGGGGTTAAATCTGCAACGAAAATTTAGAATAGAGGGTTTGCTTGTTAACTACACAGGAAAGTACAGGTTTTGTGTTACCCGTCCTTGGTGCAAGTGAAATTGGGGGGAGGGGAGCCCCTCCCCACCCCCCCCCCCCCCACCCCGTCCCAACCCACTCATCTGCCATCTGCTTTTGGTAATTATCCGAAGCTTTGCAAGCTTGCTATATGAAAGGATCATGAAAAAGACAGCTTGTATTAGCAAAACAGAGCAAGGAGGAGAGGATTGTGTTTGCACTGGGGCGAGCCCCCCCCCCCCCCAACACGCCGCTTTCTTATTTCCTTTGAAGCATGCAAGTGGTTTAGGGTTTAGGGTTTAGGTTTAGTAACATACTATGCGTGCATCCCTTTCCAAACCCGCCATGCGAGCATTGTGTTTGCAACAGGGGGGTTGGGGGTTCTGCCACCCCCTCCCCCGCACCACCCGCTTGTGCGTTATCAGGAAACCTCTATTTGCTCCTTATGTTAAACCTGTAAGAATGCTCCTATTTCCTCCATACTTTCTTCGGCAATCGACTATTACGTCCGTATGTTAAGAAATTCCTCTGTAGTTTAATCAGAAGGCCTCCATTTGTCTGCCAAGAAGGGTACAAAACGCGAAAGAAGGTACAAAAACGTTTTCTCGCCTGTTGTTTTAAGCCAAGTTTTAACCAATGCCCCGGCCTCTTAGCTTAAAGGCGGAGCCTTTGAATCGTAAAGGCAGGCATTCTTTCCAAGACCTCGAAAACCCGGAAGCCCAATTGAGTTGAAACAGAACTCCGAAATTGTCTCGATCAATCGGGACAAAGGGCTGGTCCAGGAGCCAACTTGTCCTCCTGCAATGCTCAGCGTTTCGCGGCCCTCTTTTGTAATGTCCTGGTCCCGGACCGGGGCTGCGGATTTCGATGCCCTGGCCTTCATAGCTGCCGTGCTCGGTATGTTTGTTTTTGCGTCGTTCGCCAATATAGTGATGTGGTTGGGGTTAGTCGTGAACGCGTACGATGCATCCTGGATTTGTTTCCTCATACTCGGTATCCTGAGTCTGTCGGTCGGTGCTTGGGTCGTTGTCTCGGTCTTCAGTCGCCGTCCCGGGCGATGTCTCGTCGGGGCTTGAATTGCTCTCTCAGTAGTCCTGGCCGATGCCTTTCTATGTTGCACGCGGTGTCTCAGTCAATGCCCCATGGTCAGCATGGTACTGTAGCCGTTGTTTGGTTCATGTTGGTCGCTGTTCCGGTGGGTGTTAGAAGTCGGTCTTCCAACCGGAGGCCAGTCAGTCGGTGTTTCTCTAGCAAAGGTAGGGGTGTTTATAGGCTGACATTTGAGGGTGCCATACGGTCCGCTTTGTACGATACTTGGCTTTTGCCACCCTGCCCGGCAAACCTCAAGGCGCAGCTTCAGAAACGGCCTGAAACGATTGGTGTTTTCTTTACGTTCCACAGATGGAATGCATTGAGATCTCATGGTGGCTCCAACATAAATCCTTGGTTCGATAGATAGGTGAGCGAAATAAACGTCTCATTGTGCAGGACGGAGGCAAGAACGGGCAAGTCCACCTACAACAGCGAATTCCCCTGGTGACTTGGCAATGGAAACTGCACAACTGGGATTGAAATGGGTTTAGGGTTTAGGGTTTAGGGTTTAGGGTTTAGGGTTTAGGGTTTAGGGTTTAGGGTTTAGGGTAGAATCGATGTTACGGGTTGGTCTTGGGCCTTGTTGCTTTGGGGACTGCCTTGAGATTGGCTCTGGATGCTACCCGAAGTGCAGTATGTCGATTGCCATCCCGCAGTCATGTCATTTCTCAGAACTCATTGCATCCCGATACAAGACCGCGGACACATGCACTGGAAAACTTCTCAGGCACGCCGTCAAGCCGCCGGAGTCCTCAAAGAAGCAGGCTTCGAGATTGGGTCCCGGGTTCGGATTGCGACATCTTTTGATATGGCCTACGACGACCTTGGTTCGAAGGGTTACCCAAACGCCCAAACCCTGCGCCCTGCGCCATAAACCCCCGCAGTAATTCTCTCAGGTCAGGAGACAAGCAACTCAAAGTATCCTGCGCCTGCCGATCGCATCAGCATGAACTGTCGCCACTCACACCTGGCATCCGGTGCAGATACTGAGGGGCTCAGGCTGTTACTCCAGATTCCCCGAGCCACGACGAGTCTCCGGCACAACAGTTCCCGACAGGTGCCACCTGCAGCCCACGTGCCGTCGTGGGCTCAATATACTTTCAGCAGGGTTTACACCAACAACTCCTTCATTCATTAGGGTTTGTGTCTTAGTCTTTCTCAATATTTGTCCTGAATGTACTACGTCGATAGCCATGTACAAGGTGCATGGCCGAACTGGGGCTCTGCATGAGCGGAAGGATTCATGGAGCAACCATGTCCTTTTCAGAGTCTTTTCAGCGCGCACTGCGCTCACCCAAAGATTTGAGACGTGAGGCGGGAGGACTGATCGAACATATTATCGCACAGAGGAGTTTAAATTGCTGTTGTTGAAAGAAGCGTGCAGGTCTATATGCCGAAATGCAAATGTCCCGAAGCATGATGCTCGTCAAAATCCTCTTTGGGGTGGAGAGAAGACCACCTGGAGGAATAGATGAGTTTGGTGGAACTATGTATATATCCAGGAAGCTGGTCATCATGTGCTGCAACTCTGTTAAACAAGCTGCAAGGCAATTTTTGAGCTTCCAAGAGCAGGGTTCCGACAAACGAAAGGTGGCTCACATCCAATAAAAGGGACAGGCTGCGAAAGTCAAGGGCCGGGGTTTGGCCAGGCTTTGCCAGCTCCTCAAGCACACTTTGCCCCCATCTCCCCTGTTCCGGCCCAAAGTGTCAGCTTGGCCGGAACATTTGCCCGAAGACGAGCATCCAAACAAATTTGGAGCCCTGGGCAACGACACGCAAGTAGCGAACTGTCCAGGGGAATCGGCGAAATGCGCCGTGCCAAAATGCCAAAGCCTCAGCCCATAACCATCTCCAGTCCGAACTCCAGCACCTTGCTAAGGTTCGAGGGCCTTACATCCTACCAGCACGATTACATCAAGCATCCCAATCGCCCCAGGCGGCTGCTTGAAGTCTGTGTGTGAAGATCATTGAAATCCTTGCAACTCTTGCGCAATACACCTGATTGCACCTTCGGAGCTGCAAAAGATCACTTGCCCCGATGTAACCTTGGTGTGGCTTCATGGCACCCGGTGTAAGGTTCAAGGTTCTGGGAGGTTTTGCAGCTCTTCTTGGCTGGTCTTCAAGTTGAAAGTAACGGCCATGTCGGATTGCTGGGAATGAAGACACCAGCCGCCCGATAAGCAGAGCTTGTGCTCATCGTTCACCCCAGGGCCCGCAGCCCCATTCAGGGCAATAGTCTCGCACGTGCTCAAGTCTTTCGTGGTTTTACCATCAGCTCATTTGCGCAAGATGAGAAGTGCCGAGGTTGAAGAAGGCCATCAACCCTCAACCCTAAACCCTAAACCCTAAACCCCTGAAATGTCAGCGCAGCTCTTGCAGATCAGCGACTGGGCGGCCGAAGCCACAGATGCCAGCCTCCGGCCCCTTCGACGCGCCTTGGTGTGCATACCGGCTCTCTACAAGTCACGGCGTAGGATGTCAGCGGGGCAAAGATTGAGCCCCATCTTCGGAGGTGCATTGATCTTTGACAACGGTTGTTTGGTACTTTAGAGGCCGTAGGCTTTTCTTGGTTCTAGGCTTCTAGACTCTGAATAATGTGCGAATTCAAAAACATTCTTTACAATGGCCTTGGGAAATTAGTTAAGGTTTTCTCTACGAAGAGGCTGTTGGGGCGCTCAAAAGCGGCCAAAACCTGCTTCATCACAGACTACATCTCAAGTCTAAAGCCATTGAACCCTCAACTTCAGAATCCTAACCATCTAAGCCATCCAAGCCCTAAACTTCCTAAGCCCAAATTAGCTGATTCGTTTAGCGGTCGAGTAGAGCGAATTCTGCGTTCAGGAGGCAGCCCTACCCTTGTCCCCTCCAAGTTTCACCGCCCACCCCCCCCCCCACCCACCACCCCCCCAAACAACAAAAATGCAAAATCTGAAGCTGCCAAGGGCACCACCACCTACACAACCGACTACAAGCGCTTCCACGTGCCTCAAGCCAGGCACGGCTGAAGCTCTGGGCTCACATTCTTGGGGGTCTAAGACATGGATAGTTGTTCGGGTTCTGACTCAAAGGCTGTAAATGTGAAGACTCTTCGTGGTCCATGAGCTTGGTGAGAAAGGGATTTAGGAAGGTTGCCGCTGACGGAACTTAGTGGGCAGCTGCTTGCTGCTCTCATGCCTGGTCAACCAAGACGCTGAATGTCTTGTCAAGTCATCTACCATGCAAGGCGCCACGCTTATGGGCGAGGCAGCTCGGTCCAAAGAGTTTGCGTGAAGCCCTTCACGCCGGCCTGCAGGCCGCTTCATCGCGACGGTGACAATTCACCTGTGCCAGAGCGACGGCCCGAAACAGGCCCAAGCGGCCTACGCCTACCCTGACACAGCAACAAACTCTTAGGAGTCGTTACTAGCTCCGCCTATCGCGGGACATCGCTGACTCTGACAGGGCGAAGCGTGCCGGTCACGTCCCCATCCAAGCCAGCCTGAACAACGGCCTCATCTGGAGCACAGCCGCGGACTGCTCTTCCTGTCCAGCCTCCGTGCCGGGGTGTCTCAGCTCGGACCACTCCAGGCAGCTGGACAGACCGCTGTCCAGGGCTTGCGCCTGCACTGATTGCCAAACTGCAGACGCTCACCTTGGACGCACGGAAGCCGGGCAAGCACAAGGCGAGGCTGTCCTCAGCACCCAGCGCTCTGCCAGCTCATGCTCCGCCTGAGTTTCATGCTTTGACTGTCAGACTGAACTGATCTGATCCTGCCCGGCAAAAGTCCGGGCAAGGAGACGCCGACCCCACACCAAAGGTTGAAAGAGAGGGAAAAGGAGCTTCAGTCTGAAAACAAAGCTGGGAGATAAAACGTCAGGGACCGAGAACAGAATCTTCAGCAACTTAATCGGAGCAGGGGCTAGGAAAGCAATGCATCATGGGTTAGTGAACACGATTTTTGTATCAAGACTTGTGGAGGAATGAAAGCCTCCGGGCTTGCCCGGAAAAGAGAGCGTTAGGGCCAGGGCAAAATGCATCAAGAGCTGCGGGAGGCCAGAGCTTTAGGAGAAGTAATTTTGCAGGGAGCCAGGGGTTGCGTCGCGAGCCCCATATGAAGTTCCACTCGCGCAGTGCCATCATCCAAATGCTCTTCCACCCGCATACAAGTGTAGCAAGATCTCTACGACCTCTACCTGATGTGTCTTGGCTGACCTTGAACAACTCGCAGTCATTACCCTGAGCAACCTGCCCTGGAGAAGCTCGGCGAGATAGACATCTCATTTTGCGAAGAGGGACAGATCGTCACTCGAAAGCCCTGGCAAACTTCGCAAAGCCAGCCTGAGCTTCCGACAGACGGCCTGCAACCCGAACGAAGCCGCCTGAAGCTCCGCCTAGAAAACGTCGTCGGGAACCCTTGTTGCAGACTTTCTGTGCAGGCCCTTGAAGCCCCAAGATGGCGTCTTGAAGACTGACAAGAATCCCTTCGAGGGTCTGCATCCCAGTCCGGTTGACGAAATGGTTGACAATGTCTACTGTTTGCTTAAGAACCCCCCAAAAATGCAAATGTTCTTCCCTTATAAGGCTTTATGAGGGTAATAAGGGGATTGTTTTAAACCCCTTTTTTGGGGGTTCTTAAGCATATAGTGGATGTTGAGTTTTGGGGTCGGGGTTTCGGGCGTTTCGGCTTTGGAGCTGCGCTGCCCTCAGCTTAATATCTTGAGATATCTTGAGGATTCGAGATGAGATGCGGGGGCTGGTTCTTTAGGAGGCACTACCCCCACATCGCCGCACTAGCCCAGGAGTTCCTCTTATAACATAACTCCAGTCATGGGCAGGCACAGATCTGAATGAGCTCAACGGCACCAGAGTGCAATAGGGACACAACGCACCGCTAAACCCTAAACCCTAAACCCTAAACCCTAAACCCTAAACCCCTCTCAGGCTTTGGGTCATGCCCAGGATTTTTCGGGTATTTCCCAAAATAGGGGTTCAACTTCAAGCCCCTGAAACCCCAAACCCCAAACCCCAAACCCCAAACCCTAAACCCTAAACCCTAAACCCTACACCCTAAACCCTAAACCCTGCCTTTTGCTGTCTCTTGCCCGAGGTGCCTCAGAGTACCGCCGAGAGTATCTGAAACATCCACTTCAAGGCCCCAGCCAGCGCCTCCATGGGCTGTAATTTCGGGTTTAGGGTTTAGGGTGCAGGGTTTAGGGTTTAGGGTTTAGGGTTTAGGGTTTAGGGTTCACCCAGGTTCGTGCCAAGGCGTTACCTAGGATATCTATACGCTGGCGGAGCATGTACCGTCAAGGATAGCAAGGGCGGTGGCTGTGCAGATCATCGGATCAGAGAGGGTTAATTAGATTCCAAAGAACACTGTACTTTTCTCCCATAGTATCCCAATGTTTTGCAAGTCTGCGATCTTGCTCTCTGCACCCTGTTAATTAATTTTGAGCAGCCGTCGTGCTCACCACCAGTTCTACCTCTGCACCTTTAAGATCTCTAATTCACAGCCTTGTGGATGAGTTTGCTGTCGTTGCTTGCTGCCTTTCCGGTTGCTTTTCAACCTGTCTTTTCGGGCTAATTTAGAAGTACAAGATTTAGACGTTTAGGGCTCGGATGCCCAGATCTCCACATGGGGACCTTCAAGGTCGCTTCCCGTGCATGTGTAAATCTGGGAGTCAGGAGGTCTCCGGTCCAGAAGCCGGGATATCTTACTATGTAGACATGCCAGCCAAGAAATGTAGACATCCCACTCTCGATGCGCACTTGCAGGTACGTCTATTGGCCCGAAGCGCCTGGAACCCTAGGATTTCCAATCCACCTGTAAATCATCACGTTGTCGTATGGAAGACACTAGCCACTTGCGCTTGGACTTTCGGCCGAAGGCAAGAAGCCCACGCGTGTGCGCATTCGGCCCTGACTCCTGGTAAAAATACCCTACCAGCCACAGAGTGCACTTCGCTTTGCCGTACTCTTAGACTCGACGGAATGCTCCCATAGGCCTGTATCCTGCCCATTCCTGCCCACAACCTGGGAGGGTAAGTGCCCATGGAAAACACAAGCATTTCGCAGCGCCACAATATGGGGGGGTTTTCCCAAAATAGGGGGACCCTTTTGGGGGGTATTGAGGGGATTTTTATTTAGATGGGGGTAGAAAAATGGTACCCCTATTTTGGGAACCCCATATGAAATTCTTGCAACTGGAATTTTCTTACCATTCGCCATGAACTGTGAACTTGCTCTTCTCGCCACGGAAGCAATGTTCTTTTCGCCCAGAGCGCAATTACCTATGGGTACAGGGTAGACGAGTTCCAGCCCCCATGTGAAGACGACCCACGGATCCAAACACGAAGACAGTCACGAGGATCGCGACCTGATACCCTTGCGCCCCTGAACTGACCAAGAGCTCAGTCTTGTAGGGGTTTCCAAAATTCTGGGACCTCATTGGGGTCCTTATTATAAGGGAATCCCACTATTTTGGCAGTAGCACTTTTGCACCTTGAACTTGTCCACACCCTCCTGCCTGAGCCCTTTGACGTGCAGGCCCTGAAATCCTCCACATTGAGCCAGACCTCCGAAGGCCGGAGAGCAGGTGTTATCGGGTCTTCGGGCAGAGGGTTTAGGGTTTAGGGTTAAGGGTTGCAGCACAGTGAAAGTCTGAATTTGGGTTACGGTTACGTCGCCCTTGAAGTTTTTTCGGACAAGGCTCAGGGTTTCGGATTTCAGCCGCAAGGCTTTTCTGAAACAGCAGTAGATCGTCGGCGACCGGAGTCTGGCTTTTCATTGGGCTTGGAGCTTGTGCGTAGGTGTTGAGCCGTTTTTGAGGGTGTCGAACAGGCTCCGCTGCTGTCTTGGCAGCCGGAACATCATGCCTAACACACAACAAGCACTACACTACAGAATCGACATACTTGCAGCCACCACGAAAACGGAGTAACCAGTCAGAGCCTGGCCCGAGAGATCCCAAGCCATCGGCGCTTGACGGTTCCGGGGTTTCGGACTTGAGTCTAGAGGGTGGCGGGTGCATGTCATGTGCTTTAGTACCTGAAGTTCATCCACATGAATTTGGTTGACAGTACATCTCCAACTTTAAACTTGAGCCTTCAGCTTTAGGCTCCCTCGAGCATCATTCAAGTCTTTGGGTCAAGCGCACTGCCCCAGGAATCCTGAGGGTTGAAAGCTTAGTAGGGCGCGGGCTTGAATGATTTCAAAAAATTATTTTTTCCTGGCTTTGGGGTCGTTATGGAGTCTGTGGGTTTTCAGAAGAAGTGGGTTGGTGAATGCTGTTGATGCCCCTAAACCCTAAACCGTAATTGACCGGCTTCCGGGATCCTGGCCGGAATCCGAGTTTCCCTGCCGAGCCTTGGCCTCCGCGATGTCCAAAGTCCCAAGATTCATCTTATAAGCATTCCTTAAGCATTAAACCCTAAACCCTAAACCCTAAACCCTAAACCTTCCGCATCAAATCGACGGCAAAGCTGACCAAAACTTGACAGCCTAAGTTGCAAGCCACCAAGCTTTGACTTGTCAGGTTGGATGTGTGGCCAAAGCGGCCGGCGACCGAGCAGGTCAGCTGGGGTTGAGATGGCTCTGTGGCAGCAGGGTCTTAGGTCTTAGGGCTGTAGCTGTAGCTTACTTATCGTGGGCACATGTGTTGATAAGAACCTGTCAGTCTGAGTCTTGCCGTTCCAAGTTAACTTACGTGGCCATATGACTGGGTGCCTGCGGCAGGGTGCCAGCGGCAGGAGGAACTAGATCAGGACTGGAGGAGTGTGCCTGCAATGGGCGTACGCAGATTTCGGATTTCGGACGGCCTTCCTTTTTCTGAATGATTCCAATGGTTGGGCGTATTCACGCGCTGTGTGGCTGTGGGTTTCCTATCGTGAGCCAAGTTTTCGGCACGATTTGTGTTGCTAGCCCTTCGCTTGTCTCAGTCGAGGACCCAGCTGGCGGCAACTTGCGGACATCTGCTTGTGTCCTGAAAACTAGTGTGCCGAGCATGCTCCCTCTAGTCTCGGGGAATGGCCACAAGAGCTGAAGGGTCAAGCAGTTTGGCTCTGACTTCAGGAGTGTAGAATTGAGGTTCAAGGTTTGGGGTATGGAGCCTTTGGCCCAAGCAAGGTATGGCTTTGGGGGCATATGGTCTGATGTACTGGAGACAAAGAAGCCAAAGGCTGAGCTTGTCTACGAGGCGCTGCAGTTTCACTAGCTGAGGTATGTGCATGTTGACTACACGTCTCAAAGCTGCTCAGCAAAGCCCTTTTCACATCACAGGCCTCAGCTCACTTGGCAAGCAGGCTTCCCTTTCATCATGCACGAAGTTGCAACGCCGAATTTTGCAAAGGCAGCAACAGCAACCAGACCCCAAAAGTACAGCCTGACTGCTTGCTGAAATCAGCTCAGCTACTAGCAAACACGCAACTGAGGGGAGCGCCGCAGCTCCAAAACGAGTGCAGATCTGCGATGTGCAACCCCATCACAACCCCAACGATGAAGCAAAGCAGCTTTGGGGCTCTCCAATCTTGACAAAGGTCGCAGTTCTCCTGCAGGTCGGTTTCGTGTTCGGGCACGGGGCGAATACTTGGGGGGAATACAAAATCTAAGTAAAAGAAAGATTGAGCTGAGCTAGGAATCCGAATGCAGACACGGCTGGCAAAATCTGCTCGGAAGAAAAGACTGCAAAAATTGGTTGGAAGACTCGGTTTTAGAAGAAGAAGACATGTTAATAGGGGCCCGAAAAACCTACATAAACATGAGGATCCTACAAACAGGGTTTCGGAATCCCCAATAGGGGCCCTGATACCCAAATAGCACGATCCTCATGTTTATGTGGGTTTTGGGCCCCTACTTAAGTGAACAGTCGCAAACAGGCAAAGCCTGGTGGAAGTGAGCGGGCCCCCTGAGAAAGAAACACTGTAAATGTTCCCATGTGCATACGGAAGAGGGATTTCGCTGCTGCCAAAGTCTTGAAAAAGTCATGGACCATAGAATTCCTTGCCCCAAAAGGGGAGGGTCCTGAACTAAGGCTTGAAAATGCCGGTCCCGGGAACCTGCATGTTGAATTTCAAGTTTCCGGTCCCAGGGGAGAGCCCCGAAGAAGAAACATGTCGAATCTTGAAGTGCCAGGTCCTGGGGCTGGGGGGGCTGGGGGGGCGAAGGGACTTAACTTCTGCACAACTTCTGAAAATTCTAGGTCCCTGAGGGTGGAACCTCAAGGACCCTATGTCCCAAAGGGAAGGGCGGGACCTGGAATTTTGAAGGTCTTGATTTGTTAAGAAGCTATAGCTTTGCAATGGGGGACCTGAATTTCTAATGTTTTTAATAGATCAGGCCCGGGGGGCGTGGGCGGCGTGGGGGGGCTCTCAACCCGGTTCTTGCCTTTGTGGCCACCAAACTTGAGCTATCCCAACCGGGTTCTTTCCTTAACGGCCACCAAATCACGAAAGCTAGCTCCTGGGAGCTCGCGAGAGTTGTCGTTTACAAGAATTCTCTCTAGTGTTCAGCTGGGTCAAGAAGCGACTCCGACCCTTAAGTGGTCTGAAAATCAAAGAGATAAAGGGCTGTGGAGGGGGGGGGGGGGGGGGGGGGGGGCCCCCTCCCCCCCCTTATAGGATTGACAAAATCAATCTTAAGGTGCCCCCCCCCCCACTCCTTTCAGGGTCCGCCTTAATTGATTTCTGGGGAGGGGGGGGGGGGGGGCCCCCCCCCCCCCCGTTTGGCCCCCCACCCCCCCCCCTTTTCAGGCTTCCCCCTCCGTCTTGGTCAGGCCCTGTTGTCGAGCTGTAAGGCCCCGGGATGAGCATTCGAATCCGCAGCTTCCGACAGCTCTTGTCCGCTGCGTGTCCCATCATGTTTCGTTTTGCTTACACCGATTCGGCAGTCCCGTCCTGCTCGGCCGCGCTGCTGCGCCCGCACTTCTCCTGCCTGACTCGAAAAAAGCTTGCTTGTCAGCCGGGTTTCTAGCTTTCGTGGCCCCGATCTCAAGTTTGAGGTATCCTAACCGGGTTCTTGCTTGGCCACGCCACCCAACTTGAGGTATCACAACCAGATTCTTTCCTTACCTACTACCAGGGCACGCCGTTTTGGAACTCGGGAAAGTGTCATTCGGGAATGTGCCGAAAAGACGCCGCCTGCGTTCCAAGTTGACGTCCGTGTCCAAAATGATGCTGCTCGTGTTCCAGACTGATTCTTCTTCGCTCCAAAGTGATGCTGTCGTGCTTGCGTTCCATATTGATTTTTTCCATAGAGCCAGTCGCATCGACGGTGATACCCACACGACTTCGTGATTTCTTGGATACATAAGTCTCGGATGTCGGGCAGGTATATATGTATCAGACGGACTCATAGGGCTGCGACCGCGGGCGTGCGCGAATGAATCTTAAAGCCCTTCAACACTGAGGCGTTTGGCCCAAGATGAGAACCATTGTCGGAGTGAGGGTTGCCTGCGTAGCACCATGCCCCTTACCATTCAGGTGAGCCTGCTAAGTGGCAGGACAGCGTCACTCGAAGCAGAAGAAGAGGAGCGGGTAGGCTCGTTCAACAACAGGGCACAGAAGACTCTGGAAGTTGGCAGGGGCCGACTCGTGGACTCTTCTGGAAGCATTCTGAACTCGGCAGCCACTCTTGGGGAGTCTAGGTTGCAGAGCGGTGATGTGCTCACCTTGCAGATGAGCAACATTGTTCACACCAACATTGCTGCTTTTGCTGCGATCCTTGGCACCCGGCGCGGGGGGGGGGGGGGTGCTATCAGACGGCAGCTGCAGGATGTGCGACAGATCCAAGCATCGGGTGGGCGTTGCTGCTATACTGGGCGATGGGTCTGTTGTGACCTGGGGCGCTGCGGACTGTCGTGGTGTGCAACATCAGCTGATGGACGTGAAGCAGATCCAGGCATCTGCGGAAGCATTTGCTGCCATTCTGGGCGACGGGTCTGTGGTCACGTGGGGTTCCACTGACCATGGTGGAGACAGCAGTGCTGTGCGAGACCAGTTGAAGGACGTGCGGCAGATACAAGCCCACAACACAGCTTTTGCTGCCGTTCTCGGTGATGGGTCTGTTGTGACCTGGGGTGATGCTGACAATGGTGGTGACAGCAGCGCTGTCCAAAATAAGCTCAAGGGCGTGCAGCAGATCCAAGCTACCATGTCGGCTTTTGCTGCCATTCTGCGCGATGGGTCCGTTGTGACCTGGGGCAATGCAGCCCTTGGTGGTGACAGCAGTTCCGTCCATCATCAGCTTAACGACATGCGGCAGATCCAAGCAACTTTGGTGTCGTTTGCTGCCATTCGGGGCGATGGGTCTGTTGTGACCTGGGGCCGTTGTTTTAGCGGCGGCGACAGCAGTGACGCACAACATCGGCTGCAGGACGTGCAGCAGATCCAAGCTACCGATTTCGCATTTGCTGCCGTTCTGGGCGATGGGTCCGTCGTGACCTGGGGTGATGAAGGCAGCGGTGGCGACTGCACTGATGTGGAAGACCAGCTCAAGGACGTGCGTCAGATCCAAGCTACCAGCGACGCTTTTGCTGCCATTCTGGGCGATGGGTCTGTTGTGACCTGGGGCGATGATGGCCGTGGTGGTAATAGCAGGGCCGTGCAAGGTCAGCTTAAGGACGTGCAGCAGATCCAAGCATCTCCGTATGCCTTTGCTGCCATTTTGGGCAATGGCACTGTTGTGACCTGGGGAGACAGCGACAGCAGTCTTGTACAAAATGAGCTGCAGGGTGTGCAGCAGATCCAAACCAACGGCTCGGATTTTGCTGCAATTCGTGTCGATGGTTCTTTTGTGACCTGGGGCCGGTAGTGAAAGAAGCAACGCTGACGACTTTGTAGGAACAGAAGCACAGCGTTTCTGCAGCGTCAACACCCTTTGCCACAATCTCTAGCTTGAGGCAGCGACCGTTTGCAAGCATTTCTTTCGCAGGCTGCGAACAAACCACTAGGTAATATCGTTTGCAGAGACCTTGTCTTGACATTCTTACTATGGCATTTACCCACTTTGAAACGGGTGTTTAAGCCCTGGGTCAATATCCGGCTTTGAAAATTAAAGCGGCTTCTGCCTCGCGCAAGACTAGCAGAGTGGCATATGTCGCCATAGACATTGGACTCGCGCGGGTTCCTTTGTGAATCCTGCTGTAGGCATCCAGTGAGGTCCTGCTGTCGACAATCCATGAAGTGCACTTTTTTCCAATAACGGCATCGAAATGCTTTCGGTAGGAACACGCTTCCCAGGACCTCATTCTTTTCTTTTCAGGTTGGGTATGTCAGGTGCCCGGAAGCTCCAGCCTCCGGGGGAGTGCCCTGACATCCTCAGCGCAACACCAGAAACGAAGATTTGCGACGTCGTCCTGCATGAGTGCAGGCCACAGACGCCCAAGGCCGCAAGCAGTTGCCGAAAAGGCACGGAATCAATCCAGGCCTCCTGCGAACATTGTCTAGGGTAGGTTTTAAATTTTAAAGGGTTGTTGAACTCGCAGGTGACTCGAGGCTTGCGTGTGATCCTCTTCCGATGATCGGGGTGTGAGAGAGCTGCAACCCTGTAACAGCTAGCTACCATGCTGACTGTCGCTCCGAAGCGGCCGTAATGCTGCATGCAATGTCGTGGTGGCCCATATTGCATACAGCTGCATACACCCTCTATTTGTGCTGCTTGTGGTCTGAGTCAAAACGCACGGACCCTTGCGGCAGTAGGATGTTCGATTTCTTTCAACCGCTTGCGGCTTCATTGGCGCAGCAGCCATCCTCCGGAAAACGGAA